CCGCACATGGTTGGTTCGATCGCTGTCAAGGTAGCGTAGGGCATGGGACACGAGCCGGCTCATGGGACTCAAGGCGTTGTCATTTCCCATGCCCTACTCTTACTCGTCGGAGCCCAAAACCAATTGGGTGCCGGTGGACAATAGATCGATGATGGATCCGGCCCGGGCAGTGGCGAAGCCACTCATCAGCTTGACTACCCAGCTTTTTGATGAAACTAGTATATGCTTGTAAAAATGTTGAATTTTTTTGTTCAAATTTGCATACTTGACTACACAATTTGAAAATGACTACACAAGACTGCAGTTCTGGCACCGCCACTGGTCCCAGGACAAGCCGGCGACATCCACCACGACGCGGTTGCGGCGTCCGAACTGGTGCACCATACCGGGCGCCGGAGAATGCGACTCTGTTTCACTGACATCCACCACCACGAGGGCTGCTGCCGCCTCCACGCCCGCTGCCTCGTACGACGGGCAGGTCGCGCCATGTTTGCGTCGGACGACGCCCTCGGTGCGTCCATGGCCTCGCGCACCAACGGACCGCATCACCTTCGGTGAGGCAGCGACGGCTGCCGTAGCGCCAGATCCATGCACCATTTGGGCGGGCGCAATGAATTCCCGACAGAAGGAGTCCGAGCGCTGCCGTGTATGGGCCTCCTCCCAGGAGCGGCGGAGCGCAAGCCGGATGGCCATATCCTACTCGAGGCCGCATGGGATGAACTCGGGGTCGACGAATCTGGAGGTGAAGGACTCGGATCCGCTGCCACCATGCTGGAGACCGCCGGAGACGAGGTTGGGGGTAGCGAAGGGGAGTGAAGTGAAGTGGCTACGGCTTGGTCCGGTGAGCGGATTGGGAGGAATATATGTGGGTTCGGGTGAACCAGCGTGGGTCGGGTCCAACGTGACGGGCGCGCCCGAGCATCCTCATATCCCTCCTATATTTGAGCTGGATATGAGGGGTGCCGGTTAGTTCGGTCATTTATAGCCCATTTGAGTCACCCGGCAGATCAAAATTTCGTGACCCGTCAATGACCACTCACACAGACGTTTAAGAAGGGTTTGGGATGTCCGGCTGTAGATGCTCTGACGCATCAACACAAACAAGTCAACCACAAGACTAGAATATTACTACTAGTTCCAACACGCAAAGTTTGATCAAATGAATGAGCACGAAGACAATACGACCAAACTATCAGAGATTCGAGTCCAGTCGAGACAAAAAGTTTAGCAATATATCATGTTAAACCTTGTATTTTGAGCAGAAACGCGGAAAAAAAAGAACTGAAGAAATACAAGGACGTGCTACAAAAGAACTCTGGTTTCATCGTACCCCCTCCGACGCTCTACAAATCGAACCCACCGTCGGCGTCGAACCCTCCGGCCGAGTCGGAGATCACGCCGGCAATATTCTCACACCAGAACACGCCCAGCCTACTTCATCATCCCAAACTTGCGGAGGTAGTACTCGTGCTCATCATCCGAGTCGGGCGACGCGTCGCCGGTGCGTTGCACAGGGAGGCAGACCTGGTTCTTGTTGTTCGGGTCATACTTCTGGTCAGGGAAGCGAGCCTCCTCCTCCATGAAGATATCCCACCGCGCCACAATCCTGGCCATGATTGTGTCACTGTCTTCTTCGGCGTCCGAGTCGTGGTACACCTTGTCGTAGGGCACATCGTCGTCGTCCGAGCCGCAGCAGCAGGCCTTGACGACTCCCGCCTCCTTCGCCGCCTCCGCCTTGGCCCTGCGGACCGCCGCCTCCGCCTCCGCCTTCGCCCTGGCCTTGAGGACCACCTCCTCCTTGTGCGCCTTGGACTTGGCCTTGGCCTTGGCCTTGAGGATCGCCGCCTCTGGTTTCCTGACCATGGAGAACGCCTCCTCCTCCGGCTCCGCGCTGCCGACGGTGAACGACCCGAGGCGGCTCTTGGTGGATTGGGGGTGAAAACTGAAAAGCCGGGTTTCTCTGAGGAGGAAGCGGCGGCTGGCGTATATATATCGAGGCGAACAACCCAGGAGCCTCTCTTTCTCGGGTCGGAGTCGCCTCTCGTCTCCGGACCGGCCTCTTCCATCATACTCGTTCAATGGCCCCCATCACTACTTTCTTTCTTTGTACTAGCTGGTGCGTATCTCGAAAGAAAAAAAAAATCTACTACCGCTCTAAAACAAAAGTCGAAGGAATGAATCTTTTTTTGAACACAACACAATCGAGGTCGCTCGTATACACAAGCATACACTCACCCATATGCACGCACGCACACCCTACCCTATGAGCACCTTTGAAAGACTGAGCCGGTACATCATCTTGAGATTGACAAAAGAAACAAAAATTACTATAGAGTTTTGCCGGCCGTTTTTTGGCTCGATTTTCTTATTTCCTATGGTTTCTGTTAAAATACATTGCAAAACCGATATATAAGAGCATTAGACGTTTGTGGATTTCATAACACGTTCATGAATTTGAAAAAAAAATAGATCTTAAAAAATGCTTGTGAATTTAAAAATCATGAATTAAAAAAATTCTTGCAAGCTAACAAAATTCGAATTTCAAAAAATGTTGGCTTCATAAATGTTTAAGATTTATTATTTCCTTAATTTAGAAAAATATGAATTTTCAAAAAAATGTTCATAAATTTTTTAAACATTCCTGAATTTCAACAAATCTCCATCATTTTAAAATATATGGTCAAAAATATTGAATATGTTCATGGATTCAAAAAAATCTCAGATATGGAAAAATGTTTGCAAATTCGAAGAATGTTCATGAATGGCTTTCAAAAAATATTAATGAAATTTAATATTTACAAAATAAAGGAAAATAAAAGGGAGAAACATATAAAATCAGAAAAGGGGAATTTTTGCTGGAAGGAAGATTATAGAAGCAAACATTCCCAAAACCGATGGAAGAAAGAACGCCCAGCGGGGGCATGTGGTCAGTATCCAGCGACCCGCGCGTGGAATAGAAATCCCATCGACTCTCTACTTGGACTTTCCAATAAAAAGAAAAGAAAAAACACTACAACTTCCAAACTTATGTTGTCAAGTGTAAAAAAACACTTGGTCTCCACCACTAAGGGCATGAGACCTTTGCTAGACATGTATAATTTCCCTAGTTTTCCTTACTAACTTTGTAACATGCTCTTTATGTTACACCATTGTACATTGCCACTACTAATTATAAATGAAAAAGACTCACATTAGGGGTTTCCCTACTGTTTTTGGTCAAAAAAAGAACGTTCAAGGACGAATATATCTCTCTTTTCTACTATGATTGCTTGCTCCCTACTGTGTAGTCTATGGGTTTAAGTTTAATGGTTATGTCACAATAAAATTGATTCATATGCTGACAAAGAAAATGAAAACATCAAAGGTCAAAAGGAAAAGTAGGGAATAAGACTACTCTATTTCCTCAAATAACATGGGAACTGTTAAAAAAATCAATACTTAAGATCCTACTAAAAAATTAGCATTGGAAGTGAAAGATTGGGCCTATATCTTGGGTCATGTGGGGCCTATAATCGGCCATCAAATGCACGCGCCAAGGCGGAGGGGTTGCGGGGAGGGCAGGAAACAGTAGGAGGTGGAACGGCGGAGCAAGAAGAACAAGATTGCATGTAAATTAACCAATGGTCATTGTACATGCCCTAAGATGAAAACATAGGGCAACCATTTTAGTTTTCTTAAAAAGTATCACTGAGCAACGTTGACACAACCTACTGAACTAGTATTATTGATGACGGCGGAGCAAGAAGAACAAGGTTACATGTAAATTAACCAACGGTCATTGTACAAACCCTAAGATGAAAACATAAGGCAAACCCATGTTAGTTTTCTTAAATAATACTCCCTGTCTCAAAATATAAAAACGTTTCTGACACTAGTCTAGTTTAAAAAAACTCTTATTTTATGGGATGGAGGGAGTATCATTGAGCAACGTTGACACAACCTACTGAACTAATTGTATTTGGTTGATGACGGCAGAGCAAGAAGGACAAGGCTGCATGTAAATTAACCAACGGTCATTGTACAAGCCCTAAGACGAAAACACAGAGGCAGCCATGTTAGTTTTCTTAAAGAATATCATTGAGCAACATTGACACAGCATACTGAACTAATTGTATTTTGTTGACGACATGAACATATTTTTACCAACAAAATTACGCACGAACAAACGGAGACGCCCTAACAGGACTGTCTTTTTTCTTTTTTGCAGAAACTCCAATAGGCCTGTCTATTCGCATCATTTTTCTGAATGGACAGTTCAGATCCTTTTTGGTATTTGTTGCGAAGCTCAGGGAGATTGTTCACATCATTATTTTCTGACATTGTTGCGTAGAACAGGGCCAGCAGTTGAGGTCTGCAAGACTGCATCTGTTGTTGGGATCATTTTCTTAATGGCATTATTGCCGAGATCAGTTCTGGTCTGCACGATGTTGGCAGTTGGCACCAAACAGTGGCATTGCCATGGAAAGGCGCACCATACAGTGCCGAGTGTCGACACTGCCATCTACGACTTATTTCGAACCGAAAGTTTCTTTCCTGAACGGCTGAACCCACTCTTCCACTGACCCAGAGCAGAAATTTCCTCACAAGATAAGCGGAAAATTCCACCAGCCGACCGATAAAGAAGTCAATAAGAACACACCAGACTCTCCGGAATTCATTCACCGTCACGCCAAGTTTTCCAACATTAACGCGCCAACGCAAACACGTCAACCACAAGACCAGAATATTACAGTTCCAACACGCAAAGTTTCATCAAACGAATCGAATGAATGAGTACAAAGACAATACGGCCAAGTTATCAGAGATTCTAGTCCAATCGAGACAAAAAGGTTTCACAATATATCATGTTAAAACTCATATTTACATTACCATATCACACTAGCTGCGCCCACAGGCGCCGGCGATTTTGAGCAGAAAATCCGAAGGCAAAAAGAACTGAAGAAATACCAAGGACGTACAAAAGAACTGTGCTGCCGCATATCTTATCCTCCTCGACTGCTCTAGAAGTCGAAGCCACCGCCGTCGTCGAACCCGGCGTCGTAGCCGGCGTCATACCCTCCGGCGGAGTCGGAGATCATGTCGCCGATGAGGAGCCCGCCGAGCGCGCCTCCGAGGAGCCCCGCGCCCAGGCCCATCCCCATGCCGCTCTTCTTCGGCGGCTTCACGGCCTGCTGCTGGTAGCCGTATCCGGCGGGCTGCTGCGGCGGGTAGCCGTAGCCGCCGTACCCTCCTTGTGGAGGCGGGGGCGGGTAGCCGTACCCGGCAGGCTGCTGCGGTGGGTACCCGTAGCCGTACTGCGGGGGCGGGGCGCCGTAGGGAGCTCCGGTGCTGGGTCCCGCGGCGGCTGCTGGGTAGGCCGTCACTGGCTCGCTTGCCTTCGCCGGCTTTCCTGACGGACCAGCGGGTGGGTAACCGGCTGGTGCGGGGTAGGCGGTGGATGGCTCGCCTGTCTTTCCGGCAGGTGGGTAGCCGGAGGGAGGTGGGTAGGCACCAGCGGTTGCTGCCCCGTCGGCCTTCGCCGCCTGTGGGTACGCGGACTGAGGCGGGTACGCGTTACCTGGCGGCGGGTAGGCGGATGGAGCCCCGTAGGCGTCGGCCTTGCCGGCCGGAGGATACGCGCCCTGCGGAGGGTAGGCGGCGGCCGGGGGAGGCTGCGCGTACGCGGCCTGCGCACCACCGTAAGCGCCACCGGCCTGGCCCTGGGTGACCTCACCAAGCTTGTACGAGAAGTTGAGGACCCCCTGGGGCTTCCCGGACCCGATCTTGCGGACCTGGTAGGCGACGAACTTGACGGGCACAGGGCCATCAGGGGCGCCAGAGAGCAACTCAGACAGCGGGATGTGGACCTCGCCGACGTCGCGGTCGCCGAGGGCGCGCTCGGCGCGGAGCAGCACGTGGACGGACCCCGCGGCGTTGGCCGGCACGGTGAACCTGACAGTCGCGTTCCAGGTCGGGTTACGGCCGCCGGAGCGGTCGGTGGCGACGCGCTGGCGGGAGCGCGGGTCGCCGGAGAGCGAGACGACGGCGTAGACCTCCATGGCCGAGAAGAGGTTCACGTCCTTGAGGTCCTTGCCCGATATCAGGGTCAGCTCCAGCGCCCTCTGCGCCATGGCGACGACGACGGCGATCTTCCTGCCGATTTGCCTTGGGGGATCGGGTGCTTCTTG